TTATCAGACCAGATTTATTCTTGTAAATCAGCTCTGGAGAGCTGCTTGTTCTCATCCTGGCCTTCACCTGGAGACAGGGATAAGTAGGATGTTTTGCCAAGTTCATTTCCTTTTGCTTGTGTGAGGATCACACAGACAAGTGGACAAGGTAAACAAGTTTGACTTCTCGATGAACCCCTTCATTGTATTGAGGTGCTTTGCCCTGATTATAAAAAGGAATTGTGGTGTTTCTGCTGGCAGCCCTCTCAAACTGATCCCATGTGTAGTGTTGGTTTTATTTCAATCCTCACTCGAGCTGTTTGACTTTGCCCAGCGGGCTCCGACAATCAGCATAACGCCCTTCCCCAAGCATTAGGTTTTTAACACATTGCCCTTGCTATATTACGTTGTTCCATTTCCTTTTTTTTTTTTTAAAGATTTATTTATTATGTATACAATGTTGACTGCATGTACACCCAAACACCAGAAAAGGACACTAGATCTCATTACAGATGGTTGTGAGCCACCATGTGGTTGCTGGGAATTGAACTCAGGACCTCTGGATGAGCAGCCAGTGCTCTTAACCTCTCCAGCTACACGTTGTTCAGTTTTCAATGCTTTGTCCCTCCACCACAATAACCATTTGCAACTGTTGACCAGCTTCTAGAACAGCTGACACCAAACCCTTTCAATCTTGGGGAGTAAGTCTGTTTTGCATAGCCCAGTTACTTAATACTTGTTTAACAAATGGTGAATGCATCCCGTACTACAATAGACTCTTAAAAAAAAAAAAAACAACACTCTTTAGATCTAGCATGTCTATTGGACACTGTGTCCTCTCCTAAGTCTCACCACCATCATTTGCAGGCATATACTGCACAAAGACCAGGAAGGCTGACGCTGCCTGTGTAGCTGCAGGCTCTGGTGTCACTCGCACTGGGCTCAACTCTAACCCTTCCACCCTGGACAGCACCCTGCTCTTCCCCGCCCCTTGCCCTGGGCACCTGATTGCAAAAGTACATGGAATAAGGCGAGTGGCAATCTGCCATCCAGCCTAGTTTGCTTCCCTCTTTCACAGTGAGAGAAATTCCCTAAGTCAGACACCAAGCCTGAACCCTGTTCTCCCACTGGCTCTTTTTCCTTTCCAAGCACTTCAACCTCTATATGCAAACTCTCTAGGTGCATAGCTAGCTCTGGCAATCCTTTCTAACACAGGAGTATTAAGTGAACCTTCTGAGTTTTCAGCTTTCCCAAAATGTTTTTCAAAATGGAATATACTAAGACTACGAAGCAAAACCAGAAAACCCCCTCTGGGAGCAAGGCAGGAGACCACTCAGCACCAGGAGCCTCTACCTTCTTAAAAAACATTGCCAATCCACCAAAACCTGATGATTCCTCCACTACATTAGAATAAGTTATCCATTGTGCCTAAGCCTCAGCTGGTGCCACGTGTAGGCTTAGATTTTTCAACAAACCTACTTTATTTACAGTCCTTAAACACACTTCTACCAACCCACTGACCAGAGGTAGGGAGAAAGGTTATTGGGAAAAGGGGGCTGTCCTGCTGAAGGTATATACTGTAGCAAATTAAACAGAACCGTGCCACAGACCACTAAGAGTGTTACAGGACATTTGTTTATTGTACATAGTGTTGAATAAAGTATGTCGATGTTCTACTACCAGTTTCAGCTCCCAAATTATGACACAGGGACCCATTAGATGTATTAGTAAGCTCTAAAGCACCAGCTAAGCAGATATTTATTCCAACTTGATATGCTAGCCAGGCTACTTCCCAGCCATGTGCCCCACATTTCTTGCCATTTTAGTCATGCCTTGGCTGCTTCTGCTCCATTTGTCTGTCCTCATGGCAATCTCCTCCTTCCTCTTCCTTCTCTGGCCCCTACCTTAGACAACCTTCCACCTGGGGCCCCTCCACTGGGATCACAAGTCCTACTTCCTGTCCTCTCTGCCCAGTAATAGGCTGATCAGCTCTTAACCATTTTTTTATACAACATTGATACAAGTTTCTTCATAGAAACGACAATGCCCACATCCAACTGCAACTAGATCTCTGAGCACATGAACTAGCACAAAACCACCCACCATCATAGAAAACCTGTTAGCAAAATATAAAAGCTTAAATACTGTGTTTGTAAAATGAAGTTAGGTGTGTCCTGAAGGGATACAGTTTGGGTGTGCCTCCAAGGATAAGAACGCTAAAGAATGGAAAGTTCCTGCCTATTTTAAGACAAGTTGCTTTGGGGTGGGGGAATCTTGTGGTCTTTATGACTTGAGGCAAAGTCACTTGGGTGGCCTTAAAGGTGAAATGCCCCCTACTAACTTGACTTGGAGCCCTCCACCATGATTGTGACACCATTCAGCCTGGAAAGGGTAAAGAGGAGCTAGCAATTGGACCTTTGATAGAGCTTTCTCTTTGGGCTTGCAGAATAACAAGAGAAGTAGCTGGCAGGATACAGGTAAAACAAGAAAAAGAGCTAAGGAGCCCTCTTGGGTTTGGAGAAAAAAGTTTTCTAAGAAGCTAGTAGTTTAAGTTGTAGAATCAGGCTTATAGATATTTTCTATATAGTTCGGAAAATAAAGGTACCTTTCTGAGTGAACAGGTTTTTGTACCTCCTGTGTCTTTATTGTAGAAGTATTAGATAATTTAAATGGTATAAAGAAGGAAAGGAATTGGGAGTATTTACCATGGATTTATCTCAGCTGGCACTGGGTATTTATTTACTTTTACAGGTGCTAGGAAGTGAGTTCAGGCCCTCTGGAAGAACAGCTAGTGTGCACAACCACTAAGCTTTATTTATCTCCAGCCACAGGCAAGAGATTTTTTTAAAATGAGATAATACTTTGATTTACCCCCTCCTCAATAAATGAAACCTTTGTTAGATGTAGTAGATATTAATAAAATAATCATAAACACTGTTCTTTGACTAACAAGGTTAAGTCCCTGTAAGCTTCTGGTTTTGTTTTCATCAACTGATCAACATATGAGAATTTCATGTGTTTGTTTGAAGACATGTTTTGAAAATAATTATAAGCATTACAGGACACTCATATCCAAAAGCACTAATAATATGCCTGAATAAAACTAATCTAGCCCAGGTTTTCTTGATACTTACCAGATCCTTACTGTGTTTAAGAATCCTAGAAAGCTGCAGTTAGCTCTGGGCGACATTCAAATAACAAAGCCACCAAGACAAAAGCACAAGAATTGTGGAAACCGCGACACTACATATATAATGGAAAGGACGGTTGTTTACAGCATGAGAGATCAACTAACGAAGCAGAGAACAGTTTTCAGGGACATTAATATTCCCAGATCTATGTACACTGAGGGGGACAAATGACTTTTACGGTGTAACTAAATTTGCAAGTAGGAAGAATCTGTCTGGGAACATTTCCTCCACAGCTCAGTTCTGTGTTATTTTATCAAAAGGGAACAAGGAATAACGATGCCAGTCTTTAGAATTTCTATGCAAGACCTGTATTACTTTTGTCTTCTTCCAACTCGGTGTTTGGGAGTGGACCGAAGGACCCTTACGGGGGAGAGAGACTAACCCCATCCAGAGCATTTTGTATTAATCTTTGCTACAAAAACGTTACAAATGACTTTTCGCTCTAGTCCTCGCCTATCCCTTCTCTCTTATCTCACGCACCGACCTTTTTTAGTTACTGCCAGCTTCCGTGGGCATTGAGTAGGCTTTTACTAGTTTTCATAACAATCTTAACATTTGACAAGTAGATCTGCAAGCGCACATTATCATTCTTTTTAAATTTTTTTCAGCTGTGATTTCCAGGTCTCTTCCAGCAGTACACGAATTAGACTTAACACAGTTGTAACTTGCTGGACACCAAAGAATCTTCTCCATGCTTTATTTCCTTGAAGTACTATTTTTTCTTCCTCTGACGTGTTTTATCTTGCTCTCTTCTGCTTACTGAAATTCTGTTAAATCCACGTTCAGGGAAAGAATAACACACCATTCGACTATCCCCAAGAGAAGACTGCCACCGATGTTTCCTCCCCGTGGAACCTCACTTGGTGCGCCGCATGCTTTCTCCGCGCCCTCACCCTCCAAGGGAGAGGCGGAACCACGAGGGAACCGGGAGGTCGCGGCGGGAAGGCTCGGTTCCACCGTGCGGCCGGGGCGTCCAGTCCGCAGTGCCGAGGCCTGCGTCCCGGAGTCGCGCACCCCGCCGGCGGGGGCCCAGCTCCCGCCGCCGCCGCCGCCCCCGCGGCTCCGGGTCCCGGTGGCCGGCGGAGGCCGACTTCCGCCGCGGCCCGCCGAGGCTCCGCGGCAAACCGTCCGGGCCGCCCAATTAGGGGCTCGTCGACCCCGCGCGGGGCCCGAGGGGCGGGGGCCGCGGCCGGCTCGCGGAGGCCACCCCGCCCCCGCCGCCGTTGCGCCTCTGGGCGCACGCGCAGCCGCCGCCGCCGCTCCGCATTTAGTCCGAGATGGCGTCCCTCGCGCCCCGCGGTTCTCCTCCCGAAGGCGGCCCCCGCTCCGCGCAGCCCGGAGGCCCCGGGGCCCGCCTCCCGCAGAACCCCGAGCACGACTACCCCTAGAGCGGGAGCGGGAGCGGGAGCGGCCGGATCCGAGCGTGAGGCAGAGCAGCGGCCGGAAAGGGCTCGGCGGGTCGCGGCGCGGGCGGCCCGGGCCTCGGAGGAAGAGGAGGGCGGGAGCGAGCCGAGGTTTGCCGAAGGCGGCGTTCTCGAGCCGCGCGGGGCGGGCAGGAGGGGGTGTGGCGGAAACTGCCGAGCGCTCCCGAAGGCGGCCGCGGCCGAGTTGCCCGGATGTAGTTGGTGGAACGGCGGCGGCGGCGGCGGCGGTAGCAGCGGCAGCGGCAGGAGGTGGCGAGGAGGACCCGGCGGCGGCGTGCGGGGGGAGGAGGAGGGCAGGCGCGGCGGAGCAGGAGGAGGGGAAGGTGCAGGAGGCGCTCGCTCTCCGCGGGGACCCCGAACGCGGCCTCTCGCCCCCTCCCCCCGGGCTCGCGCTGCCGCCGCGTAGTTGGCGCCGCCGACCCGGCCGATCCCGAGCGGTGCTGACGGAGGGCGATGGCCCGGGACCGCCGGCGCCAGTAACGGGGAGGTGTCGCGAGCCGCCGAGGCTGCGCCGAGCCCTGGTGCCGGGGCCGCTCGCCCGCCGCCCTCCCGCCCGCGCGCGCGCCCCCCCGCCCGTCCGCCCGCCTCGCGGCCGCTCTCCCCCTCCCCGACACACACACACAGCCGGGCATTGATGGTAATGTATGCGAGGAAACAGCAGAGACTCAGTGATGGGTAAATCGTCTTTTCGTTTCGGGCCGGGCCGCGGCGGAGGGCGGGCGGGAGGGCGGGCGTCCTTATCGGGAGCTGGCCGCGCCGCCATTTTTGTTGTTAACCCTGATCCGGCGGCGGCGGGCCGGGCCGGGCCGGGCGGGCGGCCTGGGGGGCCCGGCGGGCTCGGCGAGCGGGCCGAGGCCGCGGCCGTAGTCCCGAGCCGGGCCGGGGAGCCCGGGGAGCGTCCGCGGCGCGCAAAGCGGCGCCGGTACGTTTGTCGGCGGCCCGCGGGGAGGGGCGGCCGGGGCATTGGCTTTCTTCCTTTCCCGCGGTGTCTCACGCCATGGCCCTTGTGTCTTTCAGCTGTCACGACCGGAGGGGGGACTCGCAGCCTTTCCAGGTACCAGCGGATCCCGGGGCGGAGGGGTTGGAAGGGGTCGGAGGGGGAAGGGAGGGACGGCTACTCGAGCGCAGGCTTCAGAAGTCGCTGCAGGCCCTTCGGTGCAACAAATCTGAAAGTGGCACGGACTGGCCCGCTTAAAATTGGGTGTTGGGTTCCGGTAGCATTCTCCAGAGTCGTCTCGGGACTCATCTTGAGAGGTGACCGGAGGAAATTCAGGATTTTGTTTTGTCCTTTTTTTTTTTTTTTTTTTTTTTTTTTTTCTTCTAAGAAAAATTGCAACCAGGAAGACCTGGCTGGGTTTGAGTGTTGAGGAGTCACTGCGGTGTAGTGATAGGTGACTTCAAAAGCACGCTGGCTTCCTAGTGTAGTGGGGAGCCGAAAGATAAATGTGACGGATTTAAAAGTAGACGATGGCTAGAGAGTACCTGAGTGAGTTACGGTTGTAAGCGTACTCTTACCACTGTTTATTTTTTGGTTCCAATTCTCTTTGAAGGGAAGGGTTTTGGTTTTGTTTCAGTTAATTTAAACCTTTGGTCGCTTGGGCACTTAATGCTAATAGAGATGATTACTATTGTTACTGAAAGTTTTGCATGTAAAGTTTTAAAGATTTGCTGTTCGCCGGGCAGTAACTCTGATGACAACAGAAGTAAATACCTTATGCCTCTAACCACTTTTAAAGAATAAAAGAATAGGATCAGGTCTGGTCTTCCTCAGGGTTCTGTGGTTCGGGCTGGCTTCCAATTTTACTCCTGTCTTCCGAGTGCAGGATTACAGTCGGGAGGCCACTAGGCTGGCAGGAGAGAAAGCATGCTTCGAACCCGATAACTCGTGTTACTACTGTGCAGGAGCTTTCCGGATGTCAGAATATTTGCATGAGTCACACAGTATTGACTCCTTGGGAAGGACTGATACATTTGTTTTTAAGACACCTGCGGAGTAAAACCGTAATTTTCAGGGCATTTAGAGTTATGACTTAAGAAATATTGTTCCTGGATCAGTTTGTTTGGGCACATAACATAATCTTACAGTTTAAAAGTATTTAAAGAGCTTAAAGTATTGCAAGAGTGTGTAAATTATGGCTAGTGCTTTATTTGAATCAAAAAACTAGAAAAACTTGTGTTTTTTAAGAATAAGGTTATAAAATATATTTATTTTCAGATGTGCATGGATTCATTAGTTGTAGAGGATTCGTGGATTGTAGTTTAAGCTCTCAAAAAGTGATGTTAGTTTTGAAGATCTTTTTCTGGTGGATCAGCCTGCCAAGATACTTGGTTTTTAAAGTTTACATGATAAAATAGGGCGTTTTTCTTTTTTGGTGTTTTGTTACATTTTTTTACTAAAAGTTGCATAATAACACAAGCATTTAGATCTTCTCAGAATAAGGGAAGTACTGAAAATGGGAATTCTGAGTTTTGATGTAAGTGAAGTTAACAAAAGTTGCAATTTTAAGTGGGGAATTGAGTTTAAAGTTTCAATTTTCTCTCTGTCTCCCTTTTGGGGGGTGATGTCTTACAGGCACTTAAGTATTCGTCAAAAAGTCACCCCAGTAGTGGTGATCACAGACATGAAAAGATGCGAGACGCCGCAGATCCTTCGCCACCAAACAAAATGTTTCGGAGATCGGATAGTCCTGAAAACAAGTACAGTGACAGCACAGGTCACAATAAGGCCAAAAATGTGCATACTCAGAGAGTTAGAGAAAGGGAAGGTGGTAAGTAGCTTTCTGTCCCAAACTATCCTATCTGTGGATTTTTGAAGAAAATAGTGCAGTTAGCATGTTCAATTTAAGGAAGTTACTATGTGCTGATGTTGCCAAGTTTGAATCCAGGTTTGTTTGCGCGCTTGTTTTAATTCAGCAGTCACTGGGAAAACGAGGCTAGACAGTATTTGATGATGCAGTTACAAATAGTCTTCTAAATGTTTACTAATGATGGGAGAGTTTCTGAACAGTTTTCCAAGAAAGGAACTTGGAGTTTTTAAGGATTTCTATTTAGTTTGAAGTCATGGGTCCTTCAAAACATTTCCTAACATGTTCAAATTTTAATTGTAATGATGAGTTACACATTTAAAGAAGAGGTTTATCAAGGTAACTATCACCATTAAAAAGTTTTTTTTTTTGTTTGTTTGTTTTTGTTTTGGGATTCAGGAAATGAGTTTTTATTCGACCCATTCAAAATTTTATATTTCATTTTTTTCTGGAGTCCTTTTGGTGTTTAAAAATAGTCCTTTCTTAAAAATTCTTATTTTGCCTTTTGAAATAGGCCCTAATATCAAGGCTGGCCTCAAATGAGCTGTACAGCTGAGGAAGATTAAGTGAGCCTTAGGGTTTGTTTTGTTTTGTTTTTACAGTGCTGATAGCTTTTTGTTACCTGCTCAGACTGTGGTGGGGATAGGGAATAAGTATATTTTCAGACTGACTTTGCTCAATTTATGAATGTAACATTTTGCTTCTAAAACCTAAATTGTGGGACAAAATAATTTCACTAAGGTAATTAAAAGTTTTATGTTTTTCTCACACAGTAAGACTTTGCATTGCTCAAGTAGATAATATTTAATTACACAGTATTAATTGAAAACCGGAGAAGACCCATAGTAGAATACTGTAGTGAAAGAGTAGCAGGTAGCTTATTCAAGTGTTGGAAAATCTTGGATACTAAGGAGATTTTTGTCAGTTTTATGGGTGAATTTTCTTTAGTTTTCCATGCATCCTAGGGTAATAATAACATCCACCAGTCACTCTTCAGTGCTCATTAAAATCTAATTGGGGGACAACAATAATTTGTACTTTTAGTGTGCTGTATTTTGAGCTGTTGACACATGGTACTTGATTGTAAGTTTTTCTTTCTTTCTTTTTTTAAACAACTGGACCCAATTAGGTCATCCATTCTGAAATCCAGAAAGAAGTTAGTTTTACACATTCAAGAAAATATCTATAAATGATTTCATGTCATTACAGTGAGGCATTGAGTTCCTTCAGAGTTTAAATGATCCTCACCAAATCCTTTTGCTTATTCATTCAACAAGTGGCGGGCATACGTCATGTGCCAAGAGTTGTGTGGTCTTGGAGGTCAAGTTGTGATTGGTCCTTTGCCCTGAAGCTGGCCTTAGAGTTGTCACTTGACACTTGGGCCGAGTGGTGCTTTAGTTGTTTCTCTGTATTGTACTCTTCGCTTTTTAATTCTCCTTCAGAAATGAACTCAAATGCTGTTGGCATTTGTATCCTTGTTGTTAAGTTCCATGTGCAAGCAGTTACTCAGAATTTTCTCCCTGTTATTTCCTAAATTATAGTTCACTTTGTAATTTATTTCCACTTTTCTGTTTTTTCCTAGAGTGTAACAGATATTATAACACCATTCTTTCATAGTCACAGCCCTTTACACCAGGAACCAAACATAACATAAAATAATCTTTTGTTGTTTTAAATTAAGCTTTTGGTTCTTTGAGGTGGCTCTCACCGGCTGGCATAGAATTTGATAATGGTAAGCCAGACTGATTGCAAACTCAGAGATCCATCTGCTTCTTATAAAAATCAGTTTTTATTCTAGTGTTCAGAGTACATCTTTGGAGTTTATTATATCTGTGTATGTAATACTACTTTTTTCTTTGTCTTCTTTGAGTCAAGGCCTTACTACGTGATTACTGTAGTTGCCTCAACCTCCTGTGCTCTGGGATTAGAGAAGTAATCTACAGTCTCTGGATCTCATTGTGTTTATTATTCTCAATGTATTTAAAAACAAGAGAAGAGAAAGTCTTGAGAGAATCCTTAGAGTTGTAAATAATTTAAACAAAAAACTTCAGCCTGGTTTGATAGCACACGCCTATAATCCCAGCACTTAGGGAGGCAACGACAGGCAGATTTCGAGGCCAGCCTGGTGTACAAAGTGCTTCCAGGACAGCCAAGGCTACACAGAGAAACATAGTCTCAAAAAACAAAATGACAAAAACTGAATGGTACAAATACCTTAGGGTGTGGTGTCTTTGTAGGGTTTTTATGAAACTTAGAACTTCAGTTTTAGAGTAGTCATCCATACCTTCGAGTACTTTAGATGTGATGTAAGTGTGTGTGTACATACTTTGAGCATTGTCTGAATTGACTATATTGGTTCCTGAATTTGTGGGAATTTAGTAAATTACGTATCTTCTTAAAGTTGGGAATTGGTTTTGGTAGAAAGGAAAAATGCGTTTTTTAGACAGTAAGTATTGCTTCTAAGGATTTAAAGTCTCTACCTATGATTTTTATCCCATCAGTTCTAGAAATGTTCTCATAATACATTCTCTGTGTATGTTGAGCATACCTCATCAGAAAGTCTGAAAGCCTGTCAAAATTTTGAAAAGCCTTTTGGATAATATATGCTCAGCTGTTAAAGTCTATAAAGAGACACCCCAAACCTCAAAAGGTACTGAACATTGTGGGTAACACACTAATATCTTGAAAAATTAATCATACAGATCAGTGGAAATAAATTGCAGTTTTCTAGATGTAACTTAATGATGTCCAGATATTTTTATAAAATATAGTATTCAGAGTGGCCCTGTGTTAATCAGGGTACATTTTAAACAGGATTTTGCATTGATAATAGAAAGTTCTGAGTTGTTCTTGACTCTCGTGTTGACATTGGAAAGTAGCACAAGTACCATCTCTGTTTTTACAATTCTACAAAAAAGGAAATAAAACTAATGATAGGTGAGTCTGGAAATCATATGTGTGCTGGTAAGTTCTAAACTCAGGAGTATTTGATGTGGGATGAATTAGCTTAAAACTTGGCTTTCATCCTCCTGATGCCTTCTTTAAGCTTTCCTGAGTGGTTAGTTTTTACCTAGTTTGTACTATCAAAGTTGGTGCTGGACACAATACTACTACAGCGCATGTGTATATCTCTAGGACAATTTGTCACATGCTAGTGTTTTCTGTTTAAAAAGATGTTTCCACTTTATATCATACCAAAAGTTTCTCTAGGAAGAAACTATCTCCCACTTAAGAATAAAACTTCTTACTTTTCTTTTTTACAAAGTGACTTAGTATAGAACTTGATAGGCTAATATTTGCATTTTAATAAATTGATTGATGAATGATAGGCAGTTTTGGTTAATGAAGACAAGTAGATTTTTTTTTTTTTTAAAGAACTGCTTTATAATAACGTAGACAAAAATACTCTAGGTGACAAAAATCCTCCTAGGTGAGTCAAAAAAACACAGGAAATATTTTGTGATCAACACAGTAAGGTTGAAAGATGAGCAATCTGACTTTTGTTTTTTGTTTTTGGTGGCACAGGGTTTCATTATAGTGGCTTTAATCCCATCTTGATCATCCTGCCTCAACATCTCTAATGCTTTTTTTCTTTATTTTTTAATTTACATATGTGTGTAGGGAGCATATAAGGAAGTCTGAAGTTTTTTTCTTTCCTATCATATGGAGCCTGGGTATCCAAACTCAGTCCAGGCTTAGTAGCGAGCCCTTCCACCTTTCTAATTTTTTTTCACCAGCTCATCCCTAACTGCGTTTATCTTTTGATCTTTGGCCAGTGCTAGCCTTGAATTCTTGATCTTCTTGCCTATACTTTTCACAATTGTATAGAATCTCGGCAATCCGAAATTTTTTTCATTTTTTTTTTTTTTTTTTTGAGACAGGGTTTTTCTTTGTAGCCTTGGATGTCCTGATCTCGCTTTATAGACCAGGCAGACCTTGAACTCAGAGAGATCTGATTGCCTATGCCTCCTGGAGTGCTGTAATCTTAATGTTTTATGTTTCAACTCTGTTACTTTTCCCTTAATTTTAGAAAACACCCAGGCATGCTCACAGTTTAAGCATGTGTACTTGTAAATCTTGATAAGCAGTTATTACAAGTCATTGTCACAAAGCTTCTTTTCATGTTCTATTTTATAATACAAACATTTGTATGGCCACTTTGACTGTTTAAAAGACAGTTTTGTTTTATGTTTTTTGTTTGTTTGTTTGAGACAGGGTTTCTCTTTGTAACAGCTCTTTGGCTGTCCGGGACTAACTTTGTAGACCAGAACTAGCCTTGAACTCACAGAGATCTGCTTGCCTCTGTGAGTGCTGAGATTAGATGCATGCACCACCACACCCAGCATTTAAGACAGTCTTAAACATTTCTACTTAGCTGGATGACAAAAAAGAAAAGAAAAAATGATGTAACAAACTGAGGGCTTCCGCTTTTTAAGTTATAGAAAAGTTAATGATGTTGTATTTGCTGAAAACAACTCTTCTGTGTGTGTATGCAGTATGGTTTTGGGGTAGCATACCAGTTGACTGATGCTCAAGTGATGGTGTGCCTTTGAGACAGACACTGTAACAAGTGGCGTAACACTGTCATGTCAGAGCAATGGTATTTCATGTGTTGAGTTCTTCTTAAGGGTGTCTGTGACACCTTATAGTTGCAGAGACCTTTTGCATTCTCATCTGATCACATAGCCACTCTCTGAAATCAATTTGTTGTGTGTCTGGTTTACTGATGAAATTAATCAAAACCTTCAGGCCCTGCTGTTGATGGCAGCAAGCTAAAGTCAGTCTTCCGTGTACATAAAACTTTATTTCTGCCCTCAGATTATATTTGAGCTGAAGCCCTTCCTAGTATCTAGAATATATTTTGTGCTCATTGCCACTTTCTATGGTGGTTCTACAAGAACCTCAGAGTGGTGTCTTTTTTCTTTTTCCTTTGTAGTTATTATGTCCCATACATGAAGTAGAGT